ATATACATACATATGTACATATATATATATACATGTACATATAATGTCAGTTCGATCCATATAATGTCAGTTTGATCCTCGTTTCTTTCCGTTGTCGCTTGCCTTTGTTGGCTCATGTCTCCGTCTTGTTCCACTGCTCGCATCGTTTTTGGTGACTATCTCCCTTTCCGAGCATTTCGTTCCGACCAAATTCATCGATCGTTTGTCCTCTTGAGCCAGGATGTTTGTGCCACGACGTGGGTTCCTGCTTGCCTGGCAGCCCACCCCTTCCTCCCCCCTTCTTCTCCCCTCTGAAAACTCCACTGCCACACTGCAGAAGCGCTGTAAAGCTGGCCCGAGCTTATTCTTCTGGGACTACGCCATGAATCATGCCCCCCTCCCAACCCTCCCCCCCTTGGCCGCCACCCCTACCTAGAGGACACAAAGAGGGTTTCTTGGCGGGCCCTTCATTTTGCAGACCCTGCACCTGGATGTTGGTTCCACACCCAACTGAGACACTCTTAGAGCACGTAGCCCATGCAGCGTATTCCTCACTCCAACTGCAACTGAGACGATGTGATACGAGAGAGAATCTCCAGAGAAAATGCTGGAAAGCTGCGAAGGCTAACTTGTGCATGTCCTCAACCAACCCGCTTCTACCCGAACGATGCTTTCCTCCTAATCCCACTCCTGCTCCTTCTGCTGCACCTGCTGACTCACTGACAGTTGCGCTTAAATCAGTGCTGCTCTGACAGGCATCCTGTAGCAACTTCTGACGCCCTTCTGTCTGGCATTCAACACGGGCCCTTAGTTGCCAGGATACTGGTCCAGCTTGTTCCGCAACTGCCACCAAACCTTGCAAACGTGTGAAGTGCTGTCCATTCCTGTGCCTCTTGTGCTTCTTAGCACTCTTTCTCAAGCGGCAAGTGCTAGTACAATTTTGAGGAAACTATGCACAGGTGCAGCGCGTGCGGTTTGCTGACTCTCTACGTTTTCGAAGAGTTTAGTCAAGTATACCCAACTCACCGTCCCCCCATGTGCCAGCCAGTGGAAGCCCCTGGTAGTTCGTGTTGCAAGCAAGCCTCGGAACTCTACCCAAGACCTTCTGATTGAGGGTAGTTCCTACAATTTTATGGGTTATACCTACTACGGGTACTTGGAGGATCATGGGACTTAGCAAGTAGGGCTATAAGTACCCTAATTGGGGTTATAGGTATAGTTGCTTTCTTTATAACCCTAGTTACTAAGTCCCATGATCCTCCAAGTAGTTACTACTAAACTGTAGGTAAATGGAGTCCCCAGTACTTAGAACCTAAGCATCTCGGAAGTTCCATAAGCTTTGGCCTTCTGAAGCCCAAGTCCGTGGGGGTGCAGAACCTTAGACCACTAGACCCTACTTGAACCCTATTTACCCTAGTTAAACCCTAAGCCCAAATTAAACCCTAAACCCATCTTAAGCCCTAAGCTCTAATTAAACCCTAAAGCCATATTCAACCCTAAACCCTAATTTAACCCTAAACCCTAAACCCTAAACCCTAAACCCTAATTCCCTAATTGAACCCCAAACCCTGGTACAGGAGTTCGGGACGCTTCGGCTTCGGCTTTGGCCTGGTCCAGGGAGACAAGCATGGTGTGCCGCTCGAAGGTGGATATCTGGCTCCTCAGCTGAGGTAGGCTTGTCAGGATGCGCATGTTAAGAATGTTAGAGGATCTTTTGGCGGATCTTAGCCCTATAATACCCTGTACTGACACCGAGTCCTGACAACCGGTACGGAACCGAATCGCACACTGGAAGGACCGATTTGGACAGACCCGATTTGCGCACCGAAACGCGGATTCGCTCACTGCGGATTTGCGCACTCACACAAAGATTCGCGCACTCCGCCCGGCGAATTCGCACATGCGGAGTTGGGGCGCGCTGGCACTGACGCGGCAGATTCGCACCAAATAACCAAAGCCATAAACGCCGAAAAGCTTGAAACTTGAAACCCTGAAGCCTGAACACCCTGTGCAAAGCCCCAAAAGCCCTGAACCATGAAAACCCTCAGCCCTCAAAATCCTAACCTGTGCGCAAAACCCCGAAACTCCAAAACGAAAAAAAAAACCTTAAAGCCTAAAGAACCCTAAAAGCTGTAAACCGTAACAACCCTCAACCCTATAAACATCCACAACCCTCAAGAACCTAACCGTTAAAGTCAAGAGACGGCCTGTCAGGAAGCTGAGGCTTGCTGCTTGTATAATTTAGGGGCAAGTGAAACTTCAATTGTGGTAGCGTAGAACATGGGCGGCACTCGGTCCCCGAGGGTTCGAGCCTCAGGCGACCTGTAGCCTTGATAGCTTTGCTTTAGCAAAAGGCGCGACCGCCCGTGCCGCCGACCCCACCTACTTTCGAGTTTTTGTTGCGTAGTTTTGGGGTCGCCATGGGCACAGTAGCCCCCAAGGGGCACGCATCATGAGCATCAGCGGGGGTTCGGCGGACCCCACAGGGCACGCATCATCAGCATCGGCGGGGTTTGGCGAGGGGATTGCGCCAGGCTTCCACCTGCGCTGCCCGCCGGTAGGGTTTAGGGTTTAGGGTTTTTAGGGTTTTTAGGGTTTAGGGCCGCCCCTACAATAACAAGGGACCCAAACTGACGGCGCCATGCTTCGGATCTTCCTAGTATAAGGGTAACATAGAGGAGCCTTAATCATTAGAACAGGGTCTTGGTGTGCAGTCTACTATATTTACAATAAGGAACCCCCAAAATATTATAGGTACTTCTTAAGGCCTCTTATTATACTTTTATCAGAATAAGGAACCCCCAAAAAAGATTTTGCAATTGTTTTGGCCCCCAAGGGTCCTAAACCCTAAAACCTAAACCCTAAACCCTAAACCCTAAAGCCCCCAAGGGTAGGCCCCACAGGTTCCGAAGCTCCCTGTCCAGTCCGTCCCAGTCGCGATACTTGTTTCTGGACGGCGGCCGTTTCAGCGCGACCTCAGTTTACGGCCCAGGTTTAGGGTTTAGGGGGTTGGGGGTTTCTCACAAAATTCCCTAAACTCCCCATAATACTACGCAAGCAGGGGGTTCAATCGCGACTCTTGTGACCCTGCGGCAGAATTCCGCCTCCAAAGCTCTGCTTTCCCTTTCGGCTAACCTTTCGCACCGCTTCTGCAAGCCTACTACAGCCCCAAGTACACATGCGTAATTACAAGCTTTGAGGAGATGAAGTTTACCAGAGCTGCAGGTTTCCCTGAGCCGCAAAGCATTCGGCCAAGACTCTCTCGGAGCGATACATGCCCATAATCCGAAGCTGTCCTACGAACGATAGAAGTCAAGCACAATGCTCGGCGGCGGTCAGACACGAAGACGCCAAGAGGGAACAGGCAAAGGGAAGCGGGGATTCTCCACAGAGGCGCTATAGTGTCTCTTTTGCCTTCTTGAGGGGGTGGGTCGAGTGTGCGCTCGCGAACGGATCGAGTGTGCGCTCACGAAAGGGTCCAGTGTGCGCTCGCTGTCTGTCTTGCTTCTAAGGCAAGAGGCAAGGCTTAAGTCACCAGGTCGAGTGTGCGTTCGCCAAATAGGTCGGTGTGTGTAGAGGTCAGGCTGACGCAGTAGCGCTCCAATCAAGACTACCCTTTGTGACGACCTGAAAAAGGCATACTTAGGCAGCACTTGGCACGGGCCATCGGGAATGGCTTCAGGACTTGAGGCGCCTTGTGCTTCTATAATATCGTCAGCTTCCGAAGATAGGGCATGGGCTTAGGCAGCATTGCCCTAAACTCTAAACCCTAAATAAACCCTAAACCGCCCTCCCGAAGCAGTTGGCTCCTTGAAGTTGTCCCTGCAGACGTCCAATGTCGCCTGCACTGCCCAGATTGACGCAAGCAAAAGCCCTCAGCAACCCGCTCTCCAACACCCCGACGGCACATGAAGTCCGGCCGGCAAGAAAGGAAAGTAAGGACAACGCGTCTACACGCATGATATGGATTATGATGTCAATATACTCAATATACATAAGGCCAAGAATAGGGTCTATTTTTACTGACAAAAATGCTAGTGGTACGAACGATAGTGAAGACAACCCTTTCCTGAGAAATCTCTCCCAAATGCCATCAAGATACGCGCGGCTTAGTGTTTAGGACATCATCTCTCTGCTTACCTGCCTGCCAGCTGCCGAAGTATGATGTCAGACCTCTTCTTGTTACCGTCAGCTGCCCTGTGTAGAATGGCGTGCAAATCCTCCAGCCTCGGATGGAATGGCTTCCGGGGTTTAGGGTTCAGGACTTTTGGGAAGCAACCAGGGCAACACTAAAGGCTAAATTATGCTAATATCATGTAATATCCCGTAAGCACATCTCCCTTTTTCATCGCTGCCACGACCGGTGTCGGTGCTTGTGCTGTTGGCGCTCTGAGAAAAAACTGAAAGTCTTCGGATATTCTTCAACTGTCTGTAAGGAAATGTAGAGCCAACACCAAAACATCGAAGAATGCTTCCGGTTGGCACTCTGAAAAAGGTGGGGCCCACATGCGAAACCAAAATCTGACGTCAAACCCTCTATCGAGAGATCGTCCCTGTCTTTGTCTTTTGAATGGGGTCTGATGAAGAGTTCTATGGAAGTTTTTGGACTTTTTTGGGGGGTCTACTGGGTTCAGAATGCTTTGGAGCTTCGATTCTGGCGCCAGTAACCCATATGGGGCTTTCAGAAAATAGGGGACCCTAATATAGTACCCTAAATAGTAGGATCCTTATTATAAGGACCCCAAAAGAAGATACCCCTTGTTTTCAGAAACTCCCATATTGGAATTAATAAAGGTACCCTATTTTGGCTACCAAGTTAGGCTGCAAACCCTTGAAAAATATCTGAGCCGAGAAGCCTTTCCAAAAAGGCTGTGGCTTCAGAGGCATTGGCGGCCGAGGCCGATAGGTCCGGGCCCTGGATGAATTGAAGCAGCGCGTCCTGGCCGAGAGCTCTAGAAGCGTTTAGGGTTTAGGGTTTTTTCCCTCTCGCATTGCTGAGAACTATGCTCACGGCGAGGTCTGCTTTGGGGATACAACGGATGCAGTAATTGAGCAACTCAACAGATTGTTGGAGTTTAGGCCCAGGGGTTAGGCTATTCAATACGAAGAACCTGTTTGAGGGTGGCCCTGTGGTCCGTGATAGCTCACATCGTAGCTAGTGTCCCCGCCCCCGTGCGCAAGTTCCACAACATCTGGATGCATCTGGTGTACTCGCCTGATCCTGGCTCAACAAGTTGAAGCAGAAGGCGAGCTGAGTTGCTTTGAGGCCGAGCTCCTGTGTCGTGGCACGGGATGCGTCGCTGCCGTAGCGTGCGCCAGCTGTCTCGGCCAGACTCTTCAGCTCCTGTCCCAGAACGCTGTGGAAGATTATTCCGCACTCTCGGGGCCACAAGTCTCAATTCTTCTCTTTGCATGGACAATCTGGAATGCCACCTTCCCATGCGTTCAGCACACTCTATGAGGAAGTGAAAAGTAAACTTCACTTGGGCATCTTGTCTTGGTATCCTTGGAAGGTATCAAGGCCGATTGGAGGCCCATGCTATAGCCACGATTTCTAAAGTTGCCATGAACATCCGAGATGATTCATGTGGTCTTCCAGGTGGGGGGCTTGGGGTGGTGGGGCATGTGGGGAGGGGTGAGGGAGGCGGGGGGATGGGGGGAATTTCAATCATCAGCGTTAGGTCACAAGAAGCATGGGCATGTACGATCTCACCCAGGTCCAGCAGGGTTTAGGGTTTAGGGTTTAGGGCATGGGCATGTACGATCTCACCCAGGTCCAGCAGCATGGCGTCAGCCGAGCGCTCCAGCAACGAGCTGTCCGTTTCTCCGCCCAGCTTGCTCAAGATCTCCTCGGCATCGGGACTCTGAACCCTAAAAAAACCCTACATCGGAATCTGCCGGGAACCTTTGTTGCCCACATGGCAAAGCGCCCGCCTGATCCAAATGCGGTCGACAGACTTTCCTAAAGTAGGGAATAAATTAAGCTATATGATTGGGTGGAACCGACCCCCTACCTTGCAACCCCCGCTTCTGGAAGCGTGTTTTTGGTAGGAACCACTGATTTTGCATCATCGTATTCATAGCTGATACTGAGAAAAAAAGGAAGTACACAGTTGAAAGACAAAGAGCGTTAAACAATAGCAAGAAGGAATGGAGGAGGGCTCCACCAGGGCTCTAACACCCCTTCGAGCCCCCGCCGTCCTTGAAGTAAATGCTGTTCACGGCGTCCGTGTAGTCCATCTTGCTTGCCACCCAACTGGGTAGTTGCCAAAATTAAGGTCCCTTTGGGGGTGCCCTAAATAATAGGTGCCGTATTATAATAAGGACCCAAAAAAGGACCATAATTTTGACAACCACCCAACTGAAGGCACCCAGGACTGGTTCGAGGGTTCAGGGGGACACAAGAACCAAGGTCATGCGGGTAGTTCTCTAAGTTAGGGTCCCTTATTTTGGGGCCCTTATAATAGGGATCCTATTCTTTAGGGTACTNNTATTTTCGGAAACCCCCATGTGCCAACTTCACTGACAGATTGGGATCCCTCACGGCCCTTTTTTGATACTAATCCCTTTACAGCCAACTTCCCGTCACCGCTTGGATTTGTTGTGCTCTGGTTCCTGCTATTCGCAAGCATCCAACGAACATGCTTTTCCGGACA